CTATGAAGCAAACAGTGTCAGAGTCTAATGAAACTAATACACTGGGTAGGGCGAGAAGTTAAGGGGGGGTGTAAAAAAATCAATAACAGGAAAATAATACAATGACAGGAATAAGTCAATATCTCAATAAGTTTGTTTGTTTGTTTGTTTTTTGAGATAGGAGGGTCTCACTATGTAGTGAGACTGACCTGGAACTCAATGTGTAGCCCAGGCTGGTCTCGAACTCACAGTGATCCTCCTGCCTCAGCCTCCTGAGTGCTGGGGTTACAGGCATGTGCCACCACGCCTGGCTCATTAATAAGTTTTTTTTTTTTTTTTTTGGTACCGGGGATCAAACTCAGGTCCTTGTGCTTGCAAGGCAGGTGGTGGAACCACTGAGCTAAATCCCTGCCCTCATTAATAAGTTTTAATGTGAATAGTCTCAACTCCCCAATCAAAAGTCACAGATTGTCAGATTGGGTCAAAAACTAAAACCTAATGTTATGCTGTGTACAGGAAACACATTTAATTTAAAAAATGCATAGACTAATAATCAAAGGCTGGAAAAAATATGCCATGTGTTGGGAACCCACAAACTAGCTATCCTATTTTCAGGAAGAATGGACTTGAACCCAAAAGTGATCAGAAGAGACTAAGAAGGTCACTACATATTGGGTAAGGAACAAATTCAAGAGGAAGAGATAACTACTATAAACATATATGCATCAAGCATTGGTACATTCAGCTTCGTAAAACAAACTTTACTAATAGACATAAAAAATCAGATAAAGCAGGGCATGATGGCACATGCCTGCAATCCCAGCATTTCAGAGGCTGAGGCAAGAGGGTCATTGTGAGTTTGAGACCAGTCTGGCTACATAGTGAGTTCAAGTCCAGCCTGAACTACATAGTGAGACCCTGTCAAAAAAAAAAAAAAAAAAAAAAAAAAAAAAAAAAAAAAAAAAAAAAAAAAAAAAAAAAAAAAAAAAAAAAAAAAAAAAAAAAAAAAAAAGATAAACCTCAACACACTTATAGTAGAGCAGTTCTGAATACCTCACTGTCACAAATAGGTCAAGTAGGTAAAAGTCAACAAAGAAATATCAGCATTGACCCACATCACTGAACAAATGGACTTAATAAACATCTACAGAGCATTCTGCCTAACAACAAAGTATACTTTCTTCACAGCCGAACACAGAACTTTATCCAAAGTAGACCACATTCTAGTCCACAAAGCATGCTTAAGTAAATACAAAAGAATCAAAAATTTCCTATGCATATTTTTAGATTATAGTACAATAAAATTTGAAATCAATGACAAAAGAAACCACAGAAATTATGCAAACACATGGAAATTAAACAATACACTCCTGAATACTCAGTGGGTCACAGAAAAAATCAAGAAAGGAATTAGGCAGCTCCTAGAATCAAATGATTATGCCAGTACAGCATACCAAAACCTATGCGACACAATGACAGCAGTCCTAAGAGGGAAGTTAATAGCTGTGAATGTCCACATCACAAAAACAGAGTGAGTACAAATAAATAATCTACAGATGTAACTGAAGGTCCTGGAAAAAGAAGAATAATCCAAATCCAAACCTAGTGCAAAGAAGGAAATTATAAGGATAAGAGCAGAAATTAATGAAATTGAGACTAGAAAAAAATGAATGGAAGAATAGATTTTTCAAAAGAATAAACAAAATAGATAAACCTTTGGCCAATCTTACTGAAAACAAGGAAAGAAAAGACCCAAATCAATGCCATTAGAAATGAAAAAGACAAAATTACAATGGACACTGCCAAAATCCAAAAGATTATTAGTAACTATTTGGGAAATCTATACTCCAATAAGTTGGAGAACCCAGAAGCAGTGGATAAATTCCTATACATGAACTACCAAACTCGAATCAAGAAGACGTAAAACCCCAAATAAATTAATAACAGGTAATGAAGTTGAGGCAACTAAGAAAAGCTGAGGACCTGATGGATTCACTGTTGAATCCTACAAGAACTTCAGGGCAAATCTGACATCAACAGTCCTCAAACTCTTTAATGGAACTGAAAGTGCAGGGGTACCCCAAAGTCATTCTTGGAAGCTAGAATTACCTTGGCTCCAAAAGCAGAGAAGGACTTAACTAAAAAGAAAAGTGGGGCATGGGTGGTGTACCCCTGTAATCTCAGCCCTCAGGAAGTTGAGACAGGAGGATCACCACGAATTCAAGGCCAGCTTGGGCTACATAGTGAGTTCAAGTCCAGCCTGAATGATGTAGTGAGACTGTCTCAGAAAAAACAAAACCCAAACAAACAAAACAAGCAAATAAACAAACAACCAAAAGAAAACTGCACAACAGTCTCTTTAATAGGCACAGGTGCAACAACTCTCCCACAAACAAAAGAGGTATTAAAAAGGTCAAATCATGACCAAGCAATTTTTATCCCAAGGAAGTTTCAACACATGCAAATTAATAAATGTAATATACTAAATAAAGGCAAAAATCATGTGATCATTGCAATAGATGCAGAAAAAGCCTTTGACAAAATCCAATTGCCATTCATGTTAAAAATCCTGAAGAAAATATGTATAGAAGGACATTGGTACTGAGAAAACTGGCTATCCACATGCAAAAAATTGAAGATGGACCCATATTTCTCACCTGTACTAAACTAGAATCAAAATGGATCAAAGATCTAGAATATTAAAACATAGATACTCAACCAGATGGAAGATAAATTAGGTAAAACTCTTGAAGATATAGGCATAGGCAAGGACTTTCTGAGCAGAGCCCCAATTATATAAGAAATTATATCAAGAATCAACAGGGCCAAAATTTAGCTTAGTTGGTGTCACTGCCTGCCTCACAAATGCAAGATTCTGAGTTCAATCCCTGGTACCAAAAAAAAAAGAATCAACATCAGCAAATAGGATTATATCAAATTAAAAAGCTTCTGCTTGGCAAAGGAAACAACCAAACTACTGAAGAGACAACCGAGAAAAAAAGACTCCCCCAAATAAAAGACTTGATAAAAAATGAACAATTGAAATGAATAAACACTTCTCAGAAGAAATACAAATGGCCAATAAGTACATGAAAAAATGTCCAACATCTGGCAATTACAGAAATGCAAATTAGAATAGCACATGTATTATATCTTACTCCACAAAGAATGACTATCATCAAGAAATTACATAATAATAAATATTGGTGAGGCTGTGGGAAAAGAGAAACCCTTTTACATTGTTGGTAGGAATGTAGTACAGCCACTATGGGAATTATTATGAAGTTTCTTCAAAAACTTAAAAATAGAAATTCAATTTGACCCAATTATTGCACTACTAGGTATTTTTCCAAAAGAATTGAGGGACTGGGGATTTAGCTCAGCAGTTTGGTGGCCAATCCCTGGTATCAAAAAAAAAAAAAAAGAATTAATGAAATTATATTACAGTGATATATGAATAGTCATGTTTATAGCAACAAAACTCATAATAGTTAAATCATGGAAGCAGCTTATATGTCCATTAACAGATGAATGGATAAAGAAACTGGTATTTGTATCCAATAGAGTACTACTCTGCCAGAAAAAAGGATAAATGTGAGTAATTTGAAAATGGATATACCTTGATATCATAATGTTAAGTGAAATAAATCAGCCACACAAGCTTAAATATCCTGTGGTTTCTTCTATATGAGAAACCCAAGGTATACATAAATTAAAGAGCAAAGGAAAAGATAGATAACAGAAAACGGGGAGATAGATCTTTTGCACTTATGATGGGGACCAAGAGATGGAGATGGGGGGAGATAAAGGAGGGAAAAGGGATGGAAAAAGAATTAAGATGTGTCCTGTACGTGTACCAGCTCCCATGATGAAAGTAATCATTATGTATTAAAAACATAAAAATACTTTTTTTAAATCAGGAAAATGATACTGTGGATAGTTCTTTATCTTTCTTTTATAAAGTGAAGGTCAAAACATCCAAAACTTCTTTTTACTTTGGTTTCCAAGAAACTCAGCTAAATCAAGTGTTTACTTAAAGCAGTGCCTTCATAGCAGGTGTCTGAGAACATTTATTTCTCTGCTCCTTGTAGCCAGTTTTTAAAAAAAAATTTCAACGTCAGATGACTTGTTTTGTATACTGTACAGAGTATGACCTAAAAATATGGTGAATGTTTAAAATTTTTTTCTAAATGTATTACAGTAAAATTTATATTTCCATTAACCCCTTTCAAAACAGTCTGAACACACGTCATGCTTGCTACTTTCTGAAGCAGATCTGGAAGCCCTCTTTCAAGCCTTTAGTTGTACTTTTGTGGCTGCTTCAGCAATTCAAAATGTATATCTTTCACGGTCCTTTTGACTTTGAGGATGAGCTAGAAGTCACACAGTATCAGGTCAGGTGAATAGGTGGACAAAGACAGATTGTCCTAGTTTTAAGAGCCTGCCTTTCCTTTGGACGCCATGTGACAGCAGCATTTGCAACCATTTTTTTGTACTACTGCTTTTTTTTATCAGACCTAAAGTCACCAGTGAGAGGGGACTTCCACAACTGCTTCAGAAAGTGGCAAGAATGGTGGGATAAGTAACTCAGAGAGAGGAGGAATATTTGAGATGGTTTAAGAGCAACGTGTCTTTTACTGTAATAAAAATGTAAAACATTCATTGTGTATTTTGATCATACCTTGTATTTAACTTTTTGTAAACTGCTTGAAAAGCCTTCATATTTAGAGCACCAAGGGCACCTGGAATTTACTGGCATCTATGCCTGGCTGCCTTTCTTTCTACAGTTTAGCAAAATGCACTTTTAAATGAAGGCCTCAATAGATATTTGAAAATTGAATTGAATATTACCAGAAGAGAGCTATTTCTAGATTTTCCTCCTTTAAGAAAATTCTCTGACGGAGATGACGGTGAAGTAGCTCAGCCATGATTTAGGAAGGGTCGACTTGGCATCACCTCAAATCTCGTTTCTTTCTGGCTCGCCTGGCTCCCTCAGCAGCACGCATCTGCAGGGGACCTACCTCTTCTGCAGGCTTTTTCCTTTGGGGGATGTGGAGTGTGGAAATGAATCTCCATTGGAATTATGAAGAGCTCAGTTGGAGGTTCATTGGCTTTAAATTGACTCCTCAGGGGATCAAGGAATCTGGGTGGTTCTTCCAAAATAGGAGGGAATTTCAAAGCTTTTGGTGCCTGGAGAAAATTTAAACATGCAAAAAAATCAACACGTCAGGTATCCAACGCTGCTGCCTGCGGGGAGTAAATGATATTGTATTTTATTATATTTCTTGCCCCATCAGCTGCTGGGAAAAGCATAGCTGATCAAGCTAGGTGCTGAATCCCTGCCTTACTTGGGCTCTTGGGAACTCAATATATGTCCATCATTCCCACCTCGGATTCCTCAAAATCATCGATATGAGTAGCTTTCCAGTCTTTAAAATGATAGTCTTTCTTTATGACCAGGGAAAATGAGATGGGACTGAAATGATATAACTGAGTGCTCTACACAGTGAAAAGGAGAAATCTATGCACATGTTGTAGAGGAAAAGCCAGGGCACTTGACCGTGCAACGGATCAGGTAAGAAGGGGCAGGAAGCAGGAATTTGCATTTGTGTCTGCTTACCTTACATAACCTCTGGTAGCTTCCATGTCTTCCTCTATGTCATAGGAATAATCATACTGCCTACTGAGTCCGAAAGTGACTCAGAGGGTTAAATGATTTAGAACATGTTGTTACAATAGTGTTTGAACTAGGGTTATTTCTTCTTTCATTGGAGTTTAATAACCTTAGCTGGCTCCTAGGAGAAAAATCTAAAGTCCTTCATACTCATGTAACATGAACATAGCTGGAAATAATTTAGCCCAGTTGTTTTCTGTCCCTGTCAAACACACTCACATAAACGTATATATTTACACACATGCAGGATAGAGGCACAAAAAATGTAGTAATTAGAGCCTTCTGTTTCCAGTTATTCAGGAGTTGTTGAAAATTTCACTTTTCAGTTTGCAACTTCTAACATATGAACTTGGCTCTGTGACGTGTTTATGGTGCTGGATTTCAGAGAGTTTGATTTCACAGGAGGAAAAATGAAAACATTCTCATTTTTTTCTATACTCCAAAAAAATGATAAAAGACATACATAAGCATCCTACATGCTTAAAGTTGATTGAGAATGGAAATTTTACCCAATTTGTGCAGGGTGATATTTATAACTTTGAGACATTAAGAAAATGATTAACCAAACACAGGCACATAGAATCTTAATGTTTCTCAAGATCTTAACTGTCCAGGTGCCGGCTGCCCACCAACAGCTCTGTTTTGAATACTGACCTTGTGCATTCGTTTGACAAGGATCACATTGAGAAATCTGGGTGGAAACTCAAACTATTTGTGTGAAGCATGACTGAAAAGATTTAATAATCTTTATTCTCAGAGTTTTAATATACTATATTGGAGACTATTGCTTCCCTCTGTTAAGCAGACACAGGGGTTGAAGGAAGCGCCTGGCTAGGTATCCAGGACTTGCCTTAGGTCTGCGGTGACTCTGAGTACGTGGGGGCGGGGGGCGGGCTTGCTGTTTATTCCTGGTCCAAAGGAACCAGCTAAGACACAGGCCCTTCTGGTGTGGGTGGAAAAGTTTAGATCAGCTTAGACACAGGAAATCTAAGAAAATCCTGAACAGACTGAAAACAACTTCCCTCATTGGCACCAGGACTGCTGGAGTGTCCGTAGTTCTTTCAGGGCCACTTCAGGTGACAGGAATCCTCACAACAGATTAACATTTGGTAGTTCCTAAGTGGACGTAGAATTCTCTCCTAAAGGTGCACTGTTGTTTTTCATCCTTCCATTGGCCATTTGAGGTTGGCATCTTCCTTCAGGCACACAGTAAGTTTCCTGTGGAGTGGCAGGCTTGCGTGTCCTGGTCGCCATCACACAGCCGCTATGAGGCAGAGCATCCTGCGGGCCCTGTGAGCTCCCATACAGCCCTGGTGCCTCCAAATCACCCCATAACCCATGACCATGAAGAACTGTGAAGCAGGCTAGATATAGCAAAGGACATCTCTTAAGGAAGAAGGTGATCTAACTTCTGAAGAGGGTTGATAAACTTGCAAAATCTAACTTATGTGTGCAGAGGTTACAGACCGTCAATAGCACACTGTTGCTGAATTCAAGTTCACCAACATTTTGAATTTTAAAGTGGGTCAACTGCTTAGCAGCTCACATTCTGTCCTTCCTTGTTTACAGGAAATCTCAAACCCTCAGGAGAACAAAGGTTTCTGTTGCTTCAGAGATAGTGGTGATACCATACGCTTTACAGTATAACTGAAATACTGAAATATGATATAACTGAAATCCTTGTCCCTTGTGATTTTCAACATTAAATGGCTCTGGTGAGCTCAGAAGCTGGAGAGGCCAGTTCTCTGTTGAGACATCCTTGTGAGTCACCTCATGTTTAGTTTGGGATTAAACACACACACACACACACACGCGCGCGCACGCACACGCCCACACCTTTTTTTCCTTTGCTTCCCCAGGGGTGTTACGTTCTGCGGCAGTGACAGATGCTACTGGAGGGAACAGGCATCTTTCAGCAGGAGGCTCTTGTAACAGGTGGCTGCCTCTAGTCTTGTAGAGCTTCTCAGTCCCGTGTTTGTCTGTAGAAACAGGATGGGAATGAGACATTCTCAGTTGCAGGAATGGGGTTGGACAGTTGACTTTCAACTTTTATCACTTTTTAGTTAATGAAGGGAAGGAAATCAGGTATTAAGATGGCTTTGGCCTTGCTGAGCAGAGTTAGGGAGCCCCCGTCTCATCATCTTGGTTGGATTCTCACTGGCTGAGTCAGAGGAGGGAAAGAATAACAATAACAACGAAAAGGAATGGTGCACTAAATATGAGAAGAAAATTATGCAGTGTTTTATACGCATTGTGTCATTTCATCCCTATAGTAGTCATGTATTGGGATTACTGTCCCTGTTCCACAGCAGAGGAAACAGAATCTCAGCAAAATTAAACAATTTGCTCAATATTACAGGTAGTAAATGGGGAATAATTTGAACCCAGGCATTCTGATTGCAAAATTTGTCTGGTGAAACACTAGGCAAAGAGGGGCTTCTGAGAATCTAGTCTCATATTCAAGTGGACTCTGGGTATTTTCCAAGGTGAGTAGCTTAAGGAAGTCCCCGTCAGCACACCTGTGCTTTCAGGTGAACTCTACACCATGAGGTTCACCCTCATTAATGAATGAGACGTTTGGTTCTTACTGCTTAGGTCTGTCTTCTGACTGGGGAAGGCGCCTCCACAATGTATAATGTTGGATTTGTCATTCAGGAGCCAAGAGGGACCTATGTGGGCACGTCTGAGTGCCTTCCTGGAGGTTTGCTGTGTCTTCTCATTGTGGCTTTTCTCTGAAGCATGAACAGGAAGGTGACTCTCTATTGATGTGTCCTAGGGAACGACATACACACAGAGCTGTAAACAGGCAGTCACAAAGGAGCAGAGCGAGTTCCTGTAAGCATCAGCCTTGTGGCTACACTCATGGTTCTAGGGATGAAATTTCCTCTGCAGACTGATAAGACAGGGTTATAATAGCGAGGTCTCTGATGTGCTCATTACTATAAAATATTCTATGATTGATGATAGAAAGTGGCATAACTATACCCAACACACAATATTTTATTGGGAAAAAAAACTTTAAAAATAAAAATCAAGGAGAATCATTGCATTTATCCATCATAAAAAGTCTCTCCTCTCTCCTCTTCCATCGTGTGGTCCTTCTCTCCTTTTCTGTTCCTCTTGGCATGTCGAAACAACTTCATTCAAGATGGGAACAGATATTGTCTAGGTTGTTCTGAACAACTATTATCACACACCTTAGAGTTTAGGGAGCATTTCTAAAATTTGACTCATTTAATCCTCATAGTTACTTTGTGAGATACATACGATTAAAGCTCCATTTTATAGAAAGGCTCATTCAGGCTCAATGCTAGTTAAGCCTTGGATAAGTTTATCACAACTAGTAAAGAAGCAGGACTCAGACTATTACAGACAGCTAAGTTAGGTAGAAATATTACAGACTGTCAGATAGGTCTAGGCCCTTGAGAGAGTCAGTACAAAGGAAAAACACATCACAACTGTGGCCAGAGATGCATCTATTGGAGACCAGACCTCATGATAAAGATGAAATGACCAGGCCTGCATACTTTCCCAAAGGACAAGATAAGTGGTAGCACCTGGCCTAATGCAATCTAGATAGACGTCACTCACCCGGTGGGTGACCAAGACCTCCCAACCCATCACTTCCTAGGAAAAGTCTTTGTTCTTTCCATATATACTTGTTATGTGACTTGTTTCCCCATTGGATCACTATTACCTAAGCAACTATACTTGTAACCTTATTCGTTGATCATAGCTTTAACTCACATTGTAACCGAGTGGTTTTTTTTGCCATAAAAGCTTCCTTGTAAAGTGGGGTCCTTGGTTACCCATTTGGAACCCCTTCTGACTCTCAGGAGTTAACCTTTCAATAAATATTTCCTACTCTTAACTTCTGTTGTTCCTAGAATTCGTTCTTGGATTTTAGAGAACACAAACTCATGTATCAGACATCTAACAGGGAAAATTATATTTCTCTTATATCATCTGGAGGCCCTATTTCATCTCTTCTATCATCCGTGTATCAAAGACCAAGTCTAAGGCTAAAAGCTCTTTTTTCTATACAAGTCCATATTTGCCAAGATGGGCAGAGGGTTAGAGGAGGCTCAGTAATTTGGGAAACATGGAGTTAAATAGACTGAAGCTGGTGACTGCACTGCGGTACTTCTCAAAGTGCCCCATATCCAGATGTGTACTGGGGGTCTCTGGGAAGAGAGTGCATACGCAGCATCTCTCCATTGTACTTGTCTACAAAACCCTTTTCTTCAAGAGCGTCTGCTGATGCTAGGGTTCCACAGGTGACATTTTGGGAAAGAGTGATCAACAGGGTTAAAGCACTTGGAGGACCCCTGGATGTGGCAAAGGGAGGGAGAACCTCTCTGCAGTCATGATGATGGCAGAAGGGAGCACATTAGGAAGGAATGATACCTCTGCCCAGGTTCCATCTTCCTGCCAGGGCTTCTTCCTGGATAGCAGCAAAGGAGTCTCCCAACTGCCATGGCTCTTGGCTGTGGTGTCCTGGTCCACATGTCCAGCAGCTCCGGCTTCTCTTTCATCCGGGCCCTGCTGACCTGCAAAGGTGAACAGTGGTCAGTGGGGAGCCCCAGCCAAGGACCTGGTGCTGCTGCTGCCTCCACAAAGTCCCTTCTAGCTTCTCTGAGCAGAAGGGGTCAAGGCCCTGCTTCCTCTCTGCCCTGCCCTTCTGCATTCCTGGCAGCGCCTCCATGGAAACAGCAGCTGGGTGGGGGAACAGCTGTGCTGGGAGTCAGGAGACTTATGGTGGAGACTTGTGTCTTGGACTCTTGTTTCTTTGTCTGTAAAATGGGGACATTGATATCTTGCCCTATCTTTCTTGTCTAGAGCTTAAGTAAGATAATGAAGGAGGCAGCTCTTTGTGAGTTGGGATTTGTGGATGGTAGTGGTACAGAAGCTGCAGCGGCTCTGTGGTGCTTTCGATGTTCCATCTGAAGCAAGCTCTCCGGTTTCCTGGGCATCTCCTGGTTGTTTACCTGGGGAGAAGACTCTGCTGAAAGCAGGGGTGTGGGACCCTTGCATAGCTCTCTGGATTTACCCTGTCTGCAATCCTTGGGCAGGATCTGAGTCAACAGATGACTCCACCACAGTTAACAAATCTTTCATCGATGGTTTAAAGGGTCCTGCAGCTATTTTCATCACTTACTCAAGGTAGATTTATTGCTGAAACAGTCTGGCAAGCTTTCCTCATTTGGAGCCAAGCTTTAGTAATACCTCCACTCCCATCATGCAGCTCCATGAAACAATGTGGGCTTGTGTTTTAACCATGGGATCTGAAAGCCTGGAGGGCCCTGTGTGAGATGGAGCTTTGGATTCTGGGAACTCCTCCTCCTCCTTCCCCCAGCCAGCCTCTCCTTCCCTATATATTCCCAACCCTTGCCTCCTTCATCACCTCAATCCTTGGTGTCATTGGCTCACGTGTCAAATTCTGGCGCATGGAGTCACTCCCTCCTTCCAGCTTTCCTGCTGGTCCATTGGTTCCTAAAGGCTAGTCTGGTTTGAACTGACATCAAGAGTGTTGGTGGTTAAGACGTAGGCTCAGGCTCGGGTTCAGAAGTCTGTCCAGGTTTTAGTGGCCCAGGGAAACCTGATGGTCTCTGGAGATTTCTCATTCTGAGGTGGCCCCAGGAAAACAGCAACTCCACACAGGGTGTAGCACTAAAGACCTTTGAGGGTATTCTAGAAAGATCCTTTGGGATCAAGCTAGACGACAGGTCTACCTTCCTGGTCAGACTGAGCTGAAACCAGGTATACACTTCTCAGGTGGAGAGTGAAACTCTAGCCAAGTGGCTACTCATTCAATAGTCTTGCATGTCAGAGTGCCTATGCAGGACAGGGGGCATTGTGGGTGGGAGATCTAGAGAGGTACTCTTTGGCCATATTCCAGGTGAAATTAACCGTGTGACTCAATCTATGTGAGAGTAAACAAGAATTCTTTCTCAGTAAACGTAATCCTCTTGCTCAGCTGTTTATGATTAGAAGAAACTGCTTTGCAGAAAAAGTATTGGAAATTTCAGTTCTTGAGAGGAGGACACAAAACTTATTCTCCCTATATTTCAAATTCCGGTTCAGATCACCCAGGTGATGTGAATAGGGGTAGTAATTTACAGTTTTCGTGGGGTGTTTTCCCTCTGTCCTCTCCTGTGATAGGGAAGAAGGAATGCATACCTGATTGCTTACATTTTACAGGTGTAAAATGCCTCTAAGGAGCCAGAGAATCTAGGTGGCTTGCCAACATCTCACTGTTGGGGAATCTGGGGTTCATGGCTAGGACTTTTGCTACTTCTCCAGATAAAGTGTTTGGCAAAGAGAGGAGATCAAAGGGAAATAAAATTAAAACCAATGGAAACATCAGTCAAGTTTTGAGTTACAGCCTCTGAACTTCTTTTATTTCTTTAAAAGTTGATTTTTTTGGGGGGCTTTTGCAATCATGGGCAATTGGTTATTGCAATCAGTAATAATGTTTAGAAAACAAAAGGCAGGGAGGTATAAAATAAACGTTTATTGAGCACTTACTATCTGCCAGGTACTACATTATTCTATTTAATTCTCACATACAGCCCTGTGAAGTAAAGCTGGTGTCCTTATCTCCATTTTGTAAATGAAGAAACTGGGGCCCAGGGAAGTCCTATGGCTTGGAATTTGCTCACGTGCTCAAGTACTACTCTATACCGCCTGTCTGTTTTCCACCTTATTGTGACAATTCCTTGGCAGATGGGACTGATTCGAGAATTCACTGATTCCTTAGGTATGTAGTACCCCCCCCCCCCCTGA